ACTGTGTATCAGTCTTTCCATATTAACCATCAGCATAGGAAGATATCAGAAGAAGTAACTGCCTCATATTGCATATATTAATTTTTTTTTTCTGGGAATCAATTGCATCTTACTGCTTTTCATTGCTGTAAGATGAAATAAAAAAGGATGCTGAAGAAATATATTCGAAAATAGATAGAATCAAACAATTTTTCTGCGACTAACAAGAACAACTACATCGTATTTCATAATTATAATATCGCAGGGATTGTACTAACAATTTTTTTTTTCTTTCTCTGAGAAATAAACACAGATCATTCGTTTTTTTATTTAAGACAAACAAACAAAAAGAACATTTATTTCCATACATAACGAATGAAAAAAAACAAAATGTTTTATTGCATCATTGGTGGTGGAGGTGGTGGTGGTCGATTTGGTGGAGGAGGTGGAGGTGGTCGCTAAAATAGAAAATCAATTAGAATTTATATATTAAATAAAATAAAAATTTACAAATGGAGCTGCTGATGTTGGTGTTGGAGCTAATGGTGGACGTGGCATTTGCTAAAAAAAAACAAAATATTCATATTGCAAATTAGTATTTTTTTTTATGAAAAAAAAAATCTAACATTATTATGTATGAACTAGAGCCTCAAACGAATCATTAAGCGTCTGCGTGATCTGTGTTTTTTTTTTTTTATTTTAAAATTTGAATCTATTGCCAGCTAATAGATGTAGCAAGATTTATCTCAAGGATGATATTTTGAAAATGATGAATCATATAAATTTTTGTGAATGAATATTGAAAGAAAGTTAAATTCATCAATATAAAATTTCTATGCTTATCATTACTTGCTAGTCGTGTTTGTGTTCAATCCTAATTCAATTGAGTTTAAACGGTTTTATTCTAGTGCACATTTAGCAATACAAACACTTCTCTAATGTGAACATTTCATTATAGTGCTTTGGCCTATACAAAAGCAGCCTATTTGAACCTTTGGCATGAGTTTTCTTTTTTTTTAGAGATGTAGTATCTCCATTATCAATATCAACATACCATTGCAAATGGTGGTGGTGGAGGTGGAAGACCAGGTAAACCAGGTGGAATAGGTAAACCACCAAGTGCACCATATGGTAACCATGATGCAATTGGAAATGGATTAACTGGTGGAGGTACCGGTGGTGCTGGTGCAAATTGTGGTTGATCAGCAAATCTAACAATCGAAAGAAAAAAATTTGTTTTTGAATTAAATTTACTTCATTTCAAAATACGAACAATGTATGTGGTTTATCTGAATGTGATAATGGATTTTGAGCAGCAAGTAATCGTTCAGCAGCTGAACCATGTCGTTCACCTTTTGAGTCTTTTTTAAATGCATATGAAACTGTTATAGGTCGATTACATAAATATTGACCATTCATTGCTTCTAATGCTGTATCTGATCCATCAAAATTAGCAAAATTAATAAAAGCATATCCTTTTGAATTGCCCGAATCGGGATCACGCATAATCTGTAGGAAAAGAAAAATAATTTTTTTTGAATAACTTTTATCAATATAAACTTACTTTTGGTGTTTGTAAAATAACACCAAATGCAGAAAATGTATCATATAATAATTTTTCATCAACTTCTGGATCAAGATTACCAATAAATAAATTAGCACCAACATCAAGATTTTTTTGATGTGCTGATGCCTAAAAAAGCAAAAATAAAATTCAATAGTTCGAAGTTTTAAAGAAATCGTCGTTTTCTATTATTGTTTACTTTATTAACACGTATTGGTTTACCATAGAGTTTAATCATATTCATTATTTTAATAGCATAATCTGCATCTTCTTCAGTTAAAAATTCAACAAAACCATAACCCTGATGATTTATCGTAACACGATCTTTTGGTTGATGAACATTTACTATTAAATAAATATAAAATCAAAAATAATGATTGATAAATCTTTTGGTTTTTATTTAAACTTACCAACAGGACCAGCTTGAACAAATAATTCCCAAAGAATAGATTCATTAACACGTTCATCAAGACCACCAACATATATTGTTGCATCTTGATTTCTTTCAGCGACTGGTACAGCAGACATTATCAAAAAAGATAAATATTTAACAATATTTTATTGACGTTAAATATATAATCTAAAATCAAGTAAGATTATAGATTCTTCTAGAATAACAAAAATGCATAGGTTTTTAGATAGAGCAAAAAAAAAAGATTGACAAATTTCTTTTCTTTTTCATCATCTAATTGTAATGCTTTTTGATTGGTTGCTAATAACTTGACGAATCGCAAGCGTATATTATATAGAGGGCGTAGGAAATTTACTTGTATTAAAGCAAAATTCAGATATGTTTAGAGTTCCGAAAAAATAAACCTTCGAAATTACTGTACATTATACAGAGCAAACAGAATCAACTAAAAATAAAATACACAAATATACTAGAATATACCAAGACATACGAAGCAAAACTTTCGGTAATTATTCATAATTCGCATATTTCGTTCTTCTTTTATACAAGTAGGTTAAGAAATAAGTCCTTCAACATAAAGAATCCTAGCATAAAAACTATACGGTTGTTCCAGAAATTTCGATGATGACTAGGAAATTTGCGTAATTGTTCAATAAGAAAATATGTAGAAATTTTTTTTGTGAAATATGAGTAATTATCGAAGTTCATTGAAAATTCGCTTTTTATAGAAATATTTGAAATCGTCTATTGCTATTGGTCATATTTTCTTTTCAAATATGAATTTAGCCAAGAAAATATACATTTATCCTGAAAGCATGTAGACTTGTTAATCTTGAGTTTCAACAGAGAACGGTATGTAAACTAGACTAATTGTAGAAGTACATTCGAGTAATTGTCTTCTCTTTCGTGATATTATCATTCACTTGGTTTTATTGAATGAAAACACAGAACTTCAGAAAAAATAATAAATAAATATATTGTAAAAAAAAAATTATTTGTATGCTTATCTAAATTTCTACTTCCCATATTTCATGAATCTTTTTCGACATCAAGAATCTGATAATATGATAAAAGACTTTGAATAACAATGCCTATAGTGTCTTTCATTTATATTTAATGTTTCATCCGTTCCCTGTTCTTCATCTTTGGGTATTTTTCCCAAAACATTATTGTCTTTTGATGTTTTTAAAGAATTTTTCTTCTCGTTCATGTTTTCTTCCAACTACATTTAGTTTTTTTCCAGTTCGTTAGTATATAGAACGACTATTTTTGGAAAAGCTATTGTTGGCTTAATTATCGGTAAGGTAGTTGGCACTTCTGTATGTACGATACTTGGAGCGGTTGATAATGCTCTTATTGGTTGCCTTGTTGGACTTTTTGCAGTACGTGCTGGTTCCATTAATACTAATGCTGAAGACAAATAATTTTGATATGTTGGTCAAAATATTTTCGTGTCTTTGATTGAATAAGAGTTTTTTTTTCTTTTAGAAAGTTCAAAGAAAGAAACATTAAATATAAGTGAGCTACACTATAACAAATAATCTTCATATTCTATATGTTGTTTCGTAGTATTTTCTATATGACCAGATAAAAAATATACCCTCTTTTAAGCATAGTTTCAGTGGTAATATTTTAGATTCTAAACAATAAATGTCATTCAAACGGTCCGCTAATAATTTCTGGTCAGAGTTTAAGTCCGCTCATCAGTAATTTCTATTTGTTTTGATTTTTCGCTACAAGGTGTGCTACGATCCATTCAAACTCTAAATACTTCTGACAGAATATTATGATGTATTTGCACCAACTGGTACGTAGGTGTTCGGCTGATTTTTCTCTCTACAGCCATAGCTTCAAATATTTGGCATGGAAGTCTTTCGTGTGACTTTTTTCAACTATAGTAGTTCCTGAATGTTGTACAAAGAAAAAAAAGAAATCAAACATCTTCATCCTTAATTATAGAATTAAATAGTCTAAAACGTTTTATTATCTAACCTTTGCTCAGCTCAATGCCAAGATAACAATTTAATGTCGTCTACCCCTAAATCAAACAAATTACTCATGCCACTGAAAACGAACATTTCGTATTCAACTTCTAATAGATAGTGACGAACAAGAGTTTAGAGCACCTTTATGTTTAAGTTTTCTTCTTGATGCTAATAGCTAGCAAGAGTCTGAAAGGATTCTCTATCACGATTGATACGTTCGAAGACTTCAGTAAAGTTTGAGGGTGTGAAAAAGTAAAACTCCCAAACCCAGGTTTTTGGCAAAAAGTCCTTGTTGATAAAGCAAATGGTTCTCAGCAAGATGAAACGTCTGTTAAAAATTTTCTATAAAACGAAAAGAAAAAAAAATACTTCTTCTGCTTTCTGCAAATTGAATGCATTTTGATGAAGAAAGGTCATGCAAATCAATTTATTGAAGGTTTTAGGTTTGCAAATCTTAATAGAGAACCTTTTAAATTACTGAACTCTTTTTTCAGATTATTTCTAGCTATTACCACCGAGAAGAAAACTTAAAAATACAACTGCTCTAAACATTTGACTGTTCTCTATAATCGAAGAATTTTAAGCAATGTAAAATTATGCTTATACTCTTTTATTTGTCTCAAAGTGTATCGAGCTTAGTTTGTTCTTACTTCTGATTGTGATTTATCAACTTTAAATACTGAAAACAAGATCTTTATTTTATATTTTCATTATATTGATACTCATTATTGAGAATTTTCATATATATATACCAAACAGTCAATAGAGGTCGTCAGTTTCAAAGGTCATTTCGCGTTCAGTGTTTCTTCCAAAACGAAAAGGTACGCCGAAAGTAAACTATGGAATGATTGTATAGTTCAGTTTACTTGAGATTGAATTTCTCTCTCTTTCTGTCTGTCTTTTTCTTTCTGTTCTTATTTGCCTGAAGCATTGTTTATTTTTGTATCGAATACATTACAAAAGACGAGGCTACCCTACACCCTTTATATATATATACCTCCTTCGAAAGTTTCTTTTTTCTTCATTACATTAACCTTTTTTTTTATTCTTAAAAGAAAAAATGCATCTTGATACGAATATGGGGTAAATCTAAATTTCATTTAAATTAAAACATTTATTTATTTATTGCTAGTGAACAATTACCATTATATACATGTAAAGCACATATATTTCAAGTTGATCCTGATACACGAAAAACTTGGTTACCATTATCAAATGGTGCTGGTATGTAAAGAAAAAGAAGAAAAAAAAATCTATTAAATTTATTTCTAGTAAATGTACAAATATTTCATGATTCAGTAAAAAATGTTTATCGTATTATATCTGTTGATGGATCAAAAGTCCTTATTAATACAATAGTTACAGCTCGAATGAGTTTTACAAAAACATCACAAAAATTTTGTCAATGGGTTGATTCACGAGCAAATCATGTTTATGGTTTAGGTTTTGCTAATGAAACTGAATTAACGCGAGTAAATTATACATATGAATTTATTCGATTGATTGTTTGTTTTTTGGATTATTTAAGTTTATGGATAAATTTATTGAAGTTAAAGAAGCGACACGTCAAGCACTTAAACAAAGTGAACATCGAAGTAGTAGTGTCGATGCTCGACAAACACCTCGAGTATGATTTAGTTTAATTACTTTTTTTTTCTTTAATCTATCAAACAAAATTTGATCGAATTTCTTATTTCGCAAGTCCGAAGCAGATTGGTCAATTCAATCTACTGGATTAGACCCATCAGCACAAAATCAACTTAAACAAGAAAATGCTCATCTTAAAATTGCACTTGCTCAAAGGTAAATATTTTTTATATTACATAGATATATATTGTTCATAGATACAATATAATTTAGTTCAAATAATGCTAAAAAATGGCAAGAAGAATTAGAAATATTACGTAATAATAATGCAAAATTAACTACAGCATTACAAGAAAGTCATGCAAATGTTGAAGAATGGAAACGACAATTACAATTTTATCGTGATGAATGTACTCGTCTTCGACAAATGGTAAAATAAAGAATTATAAATCAATAAATTAAGTTTTTTCAACACAGGAATCGGAAAAAATTTTCTTTACATATATTTATAATTAAGAGTTACTTGTTTGTGTCTCTGTAGATGAGACTTAATGTGACATTGGCAAAACTATTAGTGTAAAAGAATATTTCGAGTGGAATATATAGAATTTCTGGACTAACTGAGCATCTCTAAAAATGACGCACACCTATTTCACACTGTGACTTTTTGTTTTCAACTGAAATATAACCTTTTTTTGTAGACACGAAGACACATGGTTACTTTGATTTTCAATTATACATGATATTTTACAAATAAATATCAAGGTAACTATTGTTATCTTTCAAAAATTAAAAGCAAGATAACCATAGATGTTCGCAGTGCTTATGCATATCCAAAAGTTAGCCTTGGCTATCTTGATATTTAATTGTAAAGTGTCTTGTATAATTAAAAATCAAAGTAATCATACGTGTCCTTGTCTATAAAAAAAAAAAAGGCTATATTCTAGTTGAAAACAAAAAGTGCAGTCTGGAATGAGTTAAAGATGGAAGGTTAAGCTTTTTTCATACTCTGTACCCTGACTGACGAGAGAACTATCCCAACTGAAACCCATTGTTTGAGCTCATATTGAAACCATAGACAGGCATTAGTGATATTAGCAAAAGTCTATTAGAGTTCGTTCCCATAGGACTTTGTCGTCGAGTTATGATAGATTTAGTGAATTTTCGATTCATGCGTAGATAGTTCATCAGAAAAAAAAGATGACAAAATTTTGATCAAAAATGTATTGCATTTCGAAAAATAGCCGTTTTGCCATAGGTATGTCATAAAAACTGAGTTCACTTGAAAATTCAATAACTTGACGAAAGAACATTCATTCATAGACAAAATTTTGGATTAAAATTCCGTTATTCAATCTTCCGAGAAGTACTTGAAATGTGTCAAAAATTCAGTAAACTAATCATAACTCCGTGCCAAAGGTCAATGGAAACAAACCCTTTTAGGCTTTTTCTATACTCACTGCAACTTGTCTGTAGGAGTCTAATATGAACTCAAACGATGGTTGTCACTTAGAATAGTTTCCTTTTGAGGAACGTTTTCTCATGCTTATTCTGCAAGATAAATGTTTGTATATTTTTTTATATCAATATGTAAAGGTTTCAACTCACCATCCATCAAGTGATGGACAAATTTGTGAAACACAAGAATTAAAAAGTCTACTTGATAATGCTGATCAACGTAATCAAGAGCAAGAACAAGTATTTAATTTTCTTTAATATATTTTTTTCTTTTCTTATAATAATTGATCTGATATGTAGAAAATTCTTCAACTTGAAAATCAAATTCAACGTTATATTACTCAAATAAATACGTTAGAAGATCGTTTAGCTGTATGTTATAAATAATCAATATTTTCTTGTTTATTTTCGTTCTTATTTTTATTTATTTGTATATTTCAGTCAAGTGAAGAAGATAATCAAGGACTTCGTAATGAAATAGCAAAAATTCAAAGACGTTCACCACAAGGTACATATGTACCTGGTACTGGAACATTACCACGTACAACAAATCGAAACGTTCAACAATTAGTTCGTCTTCGTGATTTATTTGAAACGAAAACTAATGATTTTAACCAAACGCTTATTGCTAAATCTCAAGATTTACAGCGAATATGTTCACAAATAACTCAAACAATAACAGAATTTTAATTTAGGTTTTTTTTTCCTCAAAAATCAACTTTACAAATTTGGTCAGATTATATGTTTTGCAACGACCAGACTACGAGAAAAGAACTACTTTACTTTGTTTTTTTGGCGAATGTAGGTGCTAATGATTCACTTTTTTTGTGATAATGTGAGTTCAAACGTGTTGTTTTTTGATATTTATTTCTTTACATTCCGAATATTTCAAGAGAATGAATACGTATATAATATGTATATATAAATAATTTTGTTTATATTCTTTGTGAAAATAGCAGTAATTCATGATTTATTTATATTCTCAGTAGTTTGTTTTATTTAATAATAATTATGTTCTTTTCATTTTTCTTGTCTATTTTATTGTTTCTTAAATAGTTCAAATAATATAAATACTTAATCAATAATTTAATATCATCGATAGATTAAAATAAATAGGTGTAAGATAGTATTTATATTTTATAAATTTCTTTTAAGAAGATAAATTCGAGTTTTTACAGTAGTGGACAAAAGCCTCCATCCCATTGTGTTTCAGTTAGCATACAAGCACAGTCATACATCGACTAATTACGCAACAAAGAGAATTATGATGTATTTTTAGTAAATAATGCTTTCTGTTCTTTTGAACTTCATAACTCTGAAAAGAAAAGGCTTTGTGAGTCAGCCGAACTCTCACTATACACTACTGATCTAGATTTATAACGGAGTACGTATGCACAAATCTTCAGATCTGCAAAATTTATAATACCTAAGATACGATGGGATGTAGACTTCTATCCATTACTGTATATCAGCTTCTTAATGACTAATACAAACCAGTTTTATACATATATTTTAAATTTAGATGAAAAGAGATCTTTCTAATTAATGAAAGCTATCGTTTAATAAGTACAAGAATAATCGGCAAGTTTTTATTTAGAGAACTGTTGTTTGCAGTTGACATATTTTCTAATGCCTTCTGAATTAAGATAAATAAGATATAGTATGTGAAATTTTTTTTTCATGCATATATTTTTTAATATGTGAGTTGGTAAAGAGAAGACCGCATCGCATCCAATCATTCTACATCATATAATCGAAAGTTTTATTTGATAAGAAAATATTGTTTACATTTTCGAAGTTCTTTCTTAAAATCTGGAAGCTTGAAATGATTTGACAGTATTGTACGTTTTCCCAATACAGAAACCATGTGTGTAAAATCAAAGACCTTTAGAGTAATAGTTCATATTATTATACAAATCACCTCTATATTGTTGTAAGACTTACTCAAATGAGAAAAATTTCGAGATAAAGTTTCTCGTCAAATTTCAAGTGCGTTTTCTTAAGATGACGATGTTTTTAGGTATTCTTGGAGCCATTTCAACTAATTTCACATAACATGTAATGGTCAATTATATATTTTTTTCAACTAGTTTTGACTGATTCGGCTCTATTGCAAATATGCTTTTTCCTTCAATATCATTAGTTGTCTAATCAAATGCTTCTTCATACATCTGTTCGATTTTGTACAATTGGCCGAACTTGAGTAGTAATAAACGCGATTTCTATTACTCTTTGAAATGTGGACATAACTTCTCTCGCTTATGTTCAGTAATAATACAAAGATCTTGATCATTAATTGCTAGTGGTCATTGCAAATTCTATCTGTCAGACATGATTATTGTCACCAAGCTACTTAATATCTTAGATATCGAAAACCATGCCCATTGAGAACAGAACTTCATCTCTTGCATCTTTCTGACAGTTAATGTTGGTAATATATATGAAGGAAGCGAATAAAACCGATGGATTCATTGTAATGCGGAACAGAATTTCTACTAAAGCAGTTACAAGAGAGTTCGGTGATCAAAATTGAAAAATATCTTGACTTTTACTAAGTAGTAGACAAAATTATTAGACAGCATTAGTTCATGTGCTGCTAACCTGAAAGCTTGACAAATCGGTGAAATCTCTGTAGAAACACGTTTGATTTTGAGTCATCCGTTTGTCTCTTGTTCATATCGTGAGTTGTTGTCACAAAATAGTAAATAGATTATAGACGTCTGTAAGAAAATCAATACATTATTGACTGTGCTGCCATTGTGAATAACAGTTTACTACTCAATACTTGTATGCTTACAATCAAAATCTTTTTCATTCAAATAATTATCTAATCAAATGAGAAGGAAATTTGGCATCATACGAACGTTTGTATCTCGTCATGTACTGGCATCTTTGAATAAAATAGGTGCTGATTTTATTTTTATTGTGCTGCTAAAATTCACAGTTGTTGTTGGCTTTGATTTTTTTTCGTAGCTTACTCCTTAGCTATGTTTAACTTAAACCAATTGAAAAAGAAATACTAGTGAGAAAATGGTTACAATACCTTATGTTATTGGGTATTAACGTCTTTTATAGACTAATCGCTTGTTACTGCAAGATATGCTATGGTTCCTTTTCTGTTGAATAACTTGTTAAAAAAATATGATAGATCAATATAGACATTCGTTTGTAACGAGTGAAGAAGTAAAACAGGGCGTAGATTTGGAAATGTATGTGAATCTAATTTTCTCTCACATCTGCATCGCACAATTCGCACTCATACCCAACCATCAGCCAAACGAGCCTAACAGTGAATGTAGAAATACTTTTTTGACATTTTTTTTTTGTCACATTTGTTATACTACAATATTTTTTGGGAATAGTGATTCTTTTTAATCTCTTTCCACCCATATTCTTCTATACAACTCCGTGAAGTGACTTTCTAGTCTTGTAGAAAGCTCCCACTTCTGTCAGTACGTACATCAATGCATGGAAGGGTCTTACTTAGGGCTAACCAAAAGTTCTAAGCCCTGTGTTTGAAGGACCTTGTCGGATAAGGTAACCTATTCACAAATGAAAAACCAAGTATACCATATTGTAGAGCATTTTTAGGCGCATCGAATGGTATAGAGTAAATCTTGTTTTCATAAAACTTTGAAGGAACTAGAGTCAATTTACTGGTAGACGACTACACGCTCACATCGATACCGACAGCTAAGCATGATATGATACTGAATATTGTGGTCTTCGATATTAGTCGAAAGTATTTGTAAAATATTTTTTCTTACATATGATTTTGTAGAGTTTTTGACAGGTTAAAACCTTATATACGTAGCATCTTCGATCATCTCGTCAGTGTGGCTATCGGTGAATGTGATTGTAGGTGTGTAGTCATCCATCCGTAAATTCGCTCGAATTCCTTCAAAGTTTTATGAAAACAGGATTTATTATATACCATTCCATGCGCCTGAAAATACTCTACAATATGGTATACTTGGTTTCTCATTCCTGAATAGGTTACCTTATCCGACAAGGTCCTTCAAACACAGGGCTTAGAACTTTTGGTTAGCCCTAAGTAGACATACATGTATGCCTCTGTCGCCATCTGGTACGTACGATATATATATATAAATGTATGCTTGCCCGAACATTGTTGGCATCGTCCGCAGTGTTATTCAAACACAGGGTTCAGAGTTCACTCTGGTCACGCATGCGAGAAAACAAATTCGTAATGAATCCAAGAAAGAGAAACAAAATTTATTGTAGCAAAAGAAAACGTCAACTACAAATTCTTTTTCACACTTTCAACGTCTTTTTTTCATTGTGCGACACGTGGATGCGTTGAAGGGTGAGATTTCTTCAAGACCTCCTGCCATTTTTCGTAAAATGAATTTGCTTTTGACTGCTCGCCGACTTTCTCATACATCAAACCAATGCTCTTGAAGGAAGAAGCCAAATCGGCATGGTGCGGAAGAAGACGTTTTTGGCGAATTTTCAGTGCTTTTTCGTAAAGTAAGATTGCTTTCGAGTATTCGCCCATGCTACAATATATATCACCTATATTATGATAGGAAATAGCGAAATCTGGATGCTTCGGATGGAGGGATTTTTTCTTGATATCAAGCGCTTTTTCATGCGATGAAAGTGCTTCTGAGTACTGGCCCATTTTATTATATATCTGTCCAATGTCGTTGTACGAAGAACCCAAGTCGGGATGGTCCGAAGGAAGAGAGCTTTTCTTGATATCAAGTGCTTTCATGTACGATGAAAATGCTTTCGAGTAATTGCCCATTTCATTATATACATTAGCAATATTGCTGTACGAAGAGGCCAGACCCGGGTCGCTCGGAGGGAGAGATTTTTGGCGAATATCGAGTGCTCGTTCATAGAATTCAAGCGCTTTTGAATATTCCTTCGACTTAAAGTACACTTCTCCGATGCTATCGTAGAAATCAGCCAAGTCGGGATTATCCGGGTGGAGAAATTTTTTTCGCATATTAAGCGCTTTTTCGTGTGATGAGAGCGCTTTTGAGTACTCGCCCATGTTACAATACATCTTTCCGATGCTTCTGTGAGAAGAACTCAAGTCGACATGGTCTGGAGAAAGAGATTTTTGTCGGATATCAAGTACTTTTTCATGCAATGAAAGTGCCATTGAGTACTCGCCCATCTTAGCATGCACATCTGCGATGCTGCTGTAGGAATCAATCAAGCCGAGATTATTCGGATAGACCGATTTCGTCTTGAAATTGAGTGATTTCTTGTAAAAATGAAGTGATTTTGAGTACGCGCCCATGTCATAATACATCTTGCCAAGTCGAAAGGTGTAATCCGCTCTATCTTTATCAGAAAATGATTCCTTTTGAAGAAGGATCTTATAGAGTTCTTTTGCTTTTTTAGACTTTCCAGATTTAATAAATATTTCCCCCAATCGAGACCATCCTGTTATTCCATTAAGCTTTCCACGCATGGATGCCGTGAATGTATTCAAATCATTGTCGTCGTTACTTGCGAGGGTAAGATTAACTTGCCATAGGCGATCAGTATGATCATCTTGGATGTGTTTTATTTGATCGATGCGAAAAATTGTGTGCGTCGAGAAAAGAATTTCTTCCTTTTTTTCAAAGGAACCGAGATCTTTTAGGTTGACAAAAGGAGTCGATGACGTTGCATAGAGTCTCGGATCGAGGGTGATAACAAAGAGTATGTCAACCAAATTAGAATCGTTTGCTACCGAGCGTGCAAAGGTATTCAGCGAAACATGACGATCACAACTTGTTGAAAGGAAATTATTAAAAGACATAAGTCCGCCTTGTGTTTGTTTTATTTTTTCCAAGTTATACATCGATAAAACCTGACCCCGAAATACTTGAAATGGAGTTGATGCCATTGTTGTCGTGTACTGCTGTTCTCGATGTAATTGTTCAATACATTGATGTAATTGTCGAATAAAGAAACCCATTTTGAATATAATACCGACATCCAATAATCGGAGGCCTCGATTAAGCATCGAGCGAATAAAATGTGAAACCGTATACCACCAAATAGGTTTATGTTGATGATATTCTCGTTCGATCATTCCAATCTGATCTTCAGGGCAATCGTCTTGAAGACGACAGTAGTCAACAAAATCTTTAATGGATTTAGCGTTATCATCGTCAATTTCCAGAAGCACTTCTTTAAATAATTGTGTGTATATAAAAAACGTATCAATGCGATGAAAACTGATCGAGATCATAGCTTGATCACATCGTTCACAATCAATTTGCAGTGCTGTATAAATCGGTTCGATTTGTTTATATATACCTTTTACTTTTGATATTGTTTTAGCCCATTTTTTATGAACCGATGGATTGCCACAAAAGACATAAATAGAATCTAATTGTGGTAATGTATAAATATGTGGCAATAATTGATGTCCCAGTGAACCGGATACAATCATAAACACTTTTTCATTCTTAATTGTACTAAGAAAATCTTTGCATTGTTGCGGATTTGTAAATGTCGTGATAGATACTACAATCTTTCGTAGAAACTGTAATGTTTTTTTAAAATCATCTTTGGATTCGTCAAAATTTGCATCAAGCCAGATCAGAAGATAATTTTGTAGAACCCGACGAACGTGTTGGGGCAGCACAGCATTGTTACTTCTGGCGTTTGTTGCTGGTCTGTTACTGGCAGTTGCAGCAATAGTTATGGATGATGACAATGGTTGCTTAGGTTTATGTGTAGTGGACGGGGAGAATAAGACACTAGCAGCAGTTGTTTGTTCTTTGTTGTTCATGATTGATAAATGAATGGATGCAATAAGCAATATTTCGTCCCTCTATCTATATATTGTCGTGTCTGCTTTTTGTTGATACTAATTTTTTTACCAATTACTATAGATGTGTGTATGTGCGTGTGTTTTGTTTGTCAGTTTAATGGCCTCTTTTGATCTATCCGCTTTAAGAGAATTGATGAAGTGACGAAGAAGTATCTGTACATCAAGCAAGGAAGAAAGAAGAAAAAACAAAAATGAATGCATGAATGCATCGCCATCTAATGAGAGAAAAAGCGAAAAATACTACATAAAGTGAATGAATATTGTTTTTGGTTCTCGGAATTTTTTTCTACATAGTAGTAGGTATGCACGTATAGTAAGCAATTAGAGGAGAAAGAGCAGGCCATAACGCGCACGTGATTTATTTATTTGATTCGCTCGAATCAACAAAATGCAAAAGCAAACTGTGCAACAAAAAAATGACATTGTTTACTGAGTAACTGATTTTATGCAGGAAAATTACCAAATATATGATTCACTTAGCTTTCTCGTTTGAAATAATAATAAGACAAACTTTTTCCTTTATACAGTTTAATATATATTCTACGAACTTTTTATCATAATTTTAACTGAAATAGATAAGCTGAAACGAAAAAATAATACACACACATGTATATGTAGTAGGTAGATATGAAAAGTTAATGAATGAGCTTCAAAACACAAGATTACCTAATGATTGATTGATTTTGATTTCTGTTCTTTTGTTGAGGGGGAGACAGCGGACTTCAAGACTTCGAAAGATTTCATTAGACTTCACGAGATTTCAACAGACTTCAACAGACCTTAGAGACTTCAATGAAAGTCAACCGACTTCCAAAACTTCGTCTGACTTCATAAGACTTCATGAGATTTCATGAGACTTGAGAATGGCTTCAGGACTTAATTGGACTTCAAAATCGAAGTCTTAGTTGTTTCCTCCTCGTTTTTTGTGCATTTTTTACATTACTTGATGACGATGGTGATGAATAATTCTTTTTTTTTAATCAAACCGTTTATTTTGATTGATTTATGTATCTTAATTTATTTAATTTATTTGTATTTTTGGTGCACAAAATAAAATTGAGAGAATTTGTTATTTGTATAAATTAATAATTACAAACATTTCGTTATCAAGGAATTCATTATGAAATTTGCTGATTATTTAAATATTGTTGGACAAATGCTATGACTGTTATTTTCATATTGCAAATAATGGAAACCTTATGTAATCAAACATTAAATCCATTGATAAAAACAGAATTAATCTCTCCTGAAGTTTTTTCTTTAATTTCATAACTATAATGAATGATATTTTAATCATTCTATTAAATAACAAAAAACGACTGAACGATTTCAATTTTGAAATCTTCTTTTGTCGCACTAAACAACTGAATGAATGCACGATTAATAAAAGGTTTTTTTTAAATTATTTTCATATTCATTCATTAATGAATCAGATCGATCAATCAAGAGCTGTTGATTGAGGTTTGTATGTAGAGACGATGCATGCATGGATGCTTGAAGCCATCTTCTGGAAGATGTATTGATAGATAGACATTTTTGTGAATGACTTCTTATGAGGAATAGAATAGAATGAATGATGTTGGATAAGCATAGAAAAAACAATCTAATTTAGTTCTTTTTGATTCAGAATTATTCAGAAAGTTGTCGAGTTATCTATCTATTTTCTGATTATTGAATCAGTTCTTTCGACATATATTAGTTCAATTGTCCGTTATATTGCAATTCTTTGTCTTGTTGTTCATTTCAGTTGTACTAAGTAGATAATCATTAGTTTAATAACTAGCATTTCCACCATTGTCGTCATTAATTGTTCAACACTCATTTTATTAATACTAATTATGAAACATTATATTTACAAGTATTTTATTAATCAATGTGTATTTATTTAGTGAGCGATTCACAACATAATGCTCTATCTGCATCATATATAGAACCCTGATTTCTCGGCTATTATACTTAGTAGTGCTAGCTTATTGTCATACCATTTGAAATAGTACACCTAAAAGATGATCCATGCATAAAGAAAACATTCCATCAAATATAAAACAGTTGTGTAATGAATCAAACAATGTGGATAATTATTTTTCTATCGGCTGCTCGACAATCAATTTTCAATGTCTTCAATAATAAGTATGTATTGTGCTTGTGTTCACACTGAATTCTAATGAATTCGATGAATGAGCATAATAAAAAATTTTAAAACTTATATAGATTTAGAAAACTAAACTAATCGATTGGATATATATTAAACAGAACAGCATACACGTATTTGATCTTGAAATAAATGAATCTGTAGTAATCAATAATTCGCTATCATCTGGCAAATAAAATAAATGTATATTCATCATCGGTACAAGAAATTCTCTAATTATTTTTCTTTTTTCAATGTTGCATTAGAGTATTCATCATTTAGTACAAGCAATCCATCAAGTAATTCATCAATACTTAATTTAGTTCGATCACTTCTAAACTCATTTAATACATACCGTTTGAATTCGTCATAACGAACTTCAACATTGATTTTATTAAATTTATCTATTTTTTTAAAGATATTGGTGCTAAAAAATAATCATGAAAATCTATTCAACAATAGGCACACTAACAAGGTGACTACTAACTATAGCATTACAGCGTTTTTTCCTTATAATGGATTTGGTGACATTTTCTAGTGTATTATTAACAATTTGAAGAACAAGTCAGGCAGATTTTAGAATACACAACATAAGAATATGATACATTCATTAGAAAAAGGCTCTAATAAAGCTAAAGCACGATATGGTTTAAAAGTAACATCTAAACACAAAACATCCCTACTTGATACGTTACAAACTCACAAAGTTCGAATAAAAAGAAATCAGTTTAAAAGCAACTTCAAATATTCGTACCTGTTGATGAATTAATATAAATTAATAGTTCTAATAATAATCATCAAATAACTATAGTTTCATGTCAAAATATTTCAAACATTCAGTTTCTGTGTAGTTGTATAAGGTACAAGGCAACTTTATCCTATCCTTCAACTAAAAAATATTTACATTCTTTTTATGAAGAATTTGTATTTATATTTTCTACTACCTATGTGTTCGATTACGGTCAAATTGCAGCGAAAATCACGATTTTCATCAAAAACCCACTTTTCGAAAAATCCTATTGGTCGAAAGGAAGCTTCTATCGAGCTGAAATATTTATGGAATATATATTACTATGCGATCTAGCTCGAGTGAAAATGTTAGACCTCTATCATATTCCCATCACGAGTTATGAAGTACCAAAGTTGTCCAAAATATGAATTTTTTCTCATTTTGGATGAGTCATAAAAAATAAAGAGCTTTATGTTTTGACCTGAAACTTCTATGGTGGCTATAACTCATGAAGATACCGGCCC